AACATCAATGCGACAAGAGCAGTTTTAGTCCCTAGAACCGCAACTTGAGAGTCTGGTACTCCTACTTCTTGATTCCAAGTAACTTCTTGAAGCTGAGAATCCTTCCGAGTAGACAAACTGATGAGGGTTCCAAAATCCTTGAAATCACCATCCGGATAGTAACACAGAGCATCCCTGGATCAGGAGAGGGTCCCTGAACATTGCATAAGCAGGAACATCCCAGTACCATTCAAGAGGTCCCCCAGGAACAATAAAAAGGAGTACAGATAAACAATTGTAAGGACCGTCCCCAAGGTCATAAGCAATCTCAGTATACTCTCCAGGTGACACAAATGGGAGATTCCAGGAAGGAGATAGCTTTGACTCCAAATATACACATAGAACCTGAGGCAAGAGAACAATATTAACAGGGCATCTGTACAAGCCGGAGTCACTATTTAACCACTAGCCTACATGGCACATATACCCCCTTCCTGCCCAGGCCAATTTTCAGCTTTCAGCGCTGTCACACTTTGAATGACAACTGCGCGGTCATGCAGCACTGTACCCATATGAAATTTTTATCATTTTTTTGAGACAGATAGAGCTTTCCTTTGGTGGTATTTAATCACGTCTGTTTTTTTTTATTCTTTGCTAAACAGACCAAAAACCACTGGAAATTTTGAAAAAAAAAACAATTAGTTTTTGTTATAAAATTTTGTAAATAAGGGATTTTTTTCCTTCACTGATGTGAGCTAATGAGGCTGCAGTGATGGGCACTGATAGGCTGCACTGATGGGCACTGATAGGTGGCACTGATGAGGAGGCAATGGTAGGTGCCACTGATGGGCATTGACAGGCATCACTGATGGGCACTGAAAGGCAGCACTCATATATGGCACTGATAGGCAGCACTGATAGGCGGCACTGACTGGCACTGATAGGCGACACTAATAGGTGGCACTAATGCGCACTGATAGACGGCACTGACTGGCACTGATAGGTGGCACTGACTGGCACTGATAGGTGGCACTGAAAGGCAGCTCAGATGGGCACTGATATGTTGCATTGATGTGCACTGGTAGGCACTGATATGTGGCATTGATGTGGGACTGACAGGTGGCATGGATGAGCACTGACAGCTGGCACTGATGGACACTGACAGCTGGCACTGCTGGGGCTACACTGATCATCAGGGCATGCTGATCATCAGTGCCCTGATGATCAGTGCACATGTCTCCTCTGAGTAATGCCAGCAAGACAGCTCGTGAGGAGAGAAATGCTGATAACCGGCATTTCACTATTTACATGTGATCAACTGTGATTGAACACAGCTGATCACATGACCGAGCCGACATTTTCGGCTCTTTCCTTTGATCGGTGATACGCTGTGTCCGAGGGACACAGCGTACCACTGATCGCCGCGCTGCACGCTCCCGGAGCCGCGCATGCGCGGTTGGAATGGGAGGACGTCATATGACGTCCTCCCAGAAAGAGAGAACCGCCTTGCGTCCGTCATTAGCTTATATGGTGGGTGGGAGGAGGTTAAGCTGCCGGAACCAATTATCAACTTCCTCAGGGGAATCAAAAATCTTACTGAACCTCCATGCTGAATCCTAAGGCGACTCGAATAAATCACGCTGTAAGGGATATCCGTCGTGCAAAGTTTTTTGCACACTTCCGTAAAGTTTTTCCGCTTCTTCTGGAGATCCGTAGAGAAATCTGGGAAAAGGTGCACAGTAGTGTTCAGGTATGGTAGATTAGCATGTTTCCTGGCCTCCCCAAGGATACGGTCTCTGTGCCGAAAATTTAAAAAGTGGACCAGGAAAGGACGAGGAGGTGCCCCAGGTACATATTTACCTGTGGGCACCCTGTGAACGCGTTCCACCACATACAGTGAGGAACAGAAGTATTTGAACACCCTGCAATTTTGCAAGTTCTCCCACTTAGAAATCATGGAGGGGTCTGAAATTCACATTGTAGGTGCATTCCCACTCTGAGAGACAGAAATTAAAAAAAAAAAAAAAAAAAAAAATCAGGAAATCACATTGTATGATTTTTAAAGAAGAATTTATTTGTCTTGCACTGCTGAACATAAGTATTTGAACACCTAAGACCTGTTACTGTGCCTTTAAAAAGTCCACCTCTTCTCCACTCATTAATCTAACTTAGTAGCACCTGTCTGAGCTCTTTAAACACACCTGTCCACCCCACAGTCAATGTGAATTTCAGACCCCTCCATGATTTCCAAGTGGGAGAACTTGCAAAATCGCAGGGTGTTCAAATACTTCTGTTCATCACTGTATGTCGGGGATACCTCAGCGAGGCCCAACAATTCCTTAAAGAAGGCCTCCGCAAACTCTGCAGGTTGCTCACCTTCAGCTACCTCCGGCAGGTCCAGAACTCACATTATTGCGGCGAATCCAATTCTCAGCATCATTAGATTTCGCCACTAGCGTTCGCACTGTATGCTGTAAAGTTTGCAGAGTGAGAATGTTGTGAAGTTGTATCTTCCGTGGCTGAGATGCGGGTCTCCGTTTCTGCCAGCCTGCCCCGGATCTTATAAAGATCATGTCAGATAAGATTGTACTCCTCTACTAAATGATCTATCCGCACCAATAAAGAGGTCCCTCTTTGTTCTATAGCCTGGAGGATGACTGCTGTATCTAAGCCCTGTGAGGAGGAGGGAGGAGGCGCAGCGCACTCTGCATCCCCAGCCAGGTTCATGTCTGCCGGCAGCACCTGCAGTCTGTGGGCCAAGATGGCATTGGCACACAAGGCCGCCAAGCCTCCCCTATTTTTTGCAGGTGTTGGGGCGGCTGAACAGCTTTTGAGGGCATTGCAGAGGGAGCACTGTGATCAGAAGAGATACCGTTGCTCTACAGGTAAGGTCCGATGCCCGATGGCAGTAAACGAGGAAAGGTTTACACAGGAGTCCTGGGAGCAAATCACTCAGACGTCTGTCCTACTCTACATCCAACCACACCCCTCAGTCTATGATTTTCAACATAAAATAACAAATCATCGGCATATGCCACCATTTTTTTTGTTCTATTTCTCCAACCCATATCCCTTTATCTACATTACTCAGTATTGTTGCTAAAAGGGGCTCTAAAGATAATATAAACAAGAAGGGTGAGAGTGGGCATCCCTCTCTTGTTCCATTATACATTGTAAAAGGTTGAGACAATGTACTATTTATCTTTACTGCTGCCGAAGGGTGTCTATATAGATTTTTTATCCATTGCATCATTTTATTCTCTAACCCTAATACCTCTAAGGTACTCAATATAAATCCCCAGTCTACCCTGCCAAATGCTTTTTTGGCGTCTATTGGCAGGAGTATAACTGGGCTTTTCTCTTCTTTTCCCTTCTGCAGCAGAAGCAATGACCTCAGACTGGTATCTCCTCTCTCTCTCCCTGGTACAAATCCTACTTGATCGGGTTGAACAAAATCTGGCAATAGTTCTTTTATCCTGTTGGCAATTACCTTTGCATATAATTTCGTATCGACATTCAGCAATGATATTGGTCTATAGCTTGTACGCTGAGATACATCTTTTCCCTCTTTAGGTATGACTGTAATATGTGCCAGAAGTGAGTCCTTCCTCATTTCCACTCCCTCTCCCAATGTATTAATATATTCATACATTCTAGGTACTAACTGATCTTTAAATTTCCTATATCTCTCCGTGTACCCATCAGGTCCCGGGCTTTTACCCCTTATTGTACTCCTTAGTGCTGCTTGTATTTCCTCCTGTGTTATTGGGTAATCTAGCATCGTCGCTCTTTCTTCTTCTATTCTAGGCAATCCCGCTGCTTTAAGGAATGCCTGTATCTTCGTTCTTCTATCTCCCTTTGGTTCTCTTTGGTCCCTGTGTTTAACTGCATACAATAGACTATAATATTCTTGAAATGCACTTGCAATCTTTTTAGCTGAACATACTATTTCTCCTGATTTATTCCTGATCTTCTTTATGTAGTTTACTGATTTCTTATCCCTTAATATCTTTGCCAAGTTTTTTCCTGGTCTTTTCCCACATTGACACCTTTCTTTTGCCACCCTGTTTAATACCCTTTTAGTCTCCTGTTCCATTAAGACACTTAATTTTTCTCTTTTTAAGGTTATTTATGATGTACCCTCCTCTCTACTCTTCTCTTATGTATTTGTTCTAATTCCTGTATTTTTTTCTAGCAGTATCCTGACCCTCTTGGTCCAAATTCTCTTTTTTTGTGCTCCTACTGAGATCAGGAAACCCCTTATATATGCCTGAACTGCCATTTTTCCATCCCACCAGGCAAGCAGGAAAATCCTAAGTATATTTAATGTTTCGTGATCGCATTTCCTCTGAGAGGTCTCAAAATCCTTCTTGCTAATGTTTCTGGTGCTATATCTGCATACATTCGCACGTCCATCCCCTCAAGTGTTATTGCAGGGATCCCTCTTATTTTCTCCCAGATTCTTGCTTTATCCTCAAAATAGTGAAACCTTACTAACAAGTCTCTTGGGGTTTCCAAGGATCCTTATCCTATCCGATTTTCAATTGCTCGGATATAGGTCTGTTTATTAGTGGATTCAACAGTTTATTCATTATTTGTCGTAGATCTTCTCCTTGTGCACCTTCTGGTAGTCCTCGAATCCTTAAATTGTTCCTTCTATTTCTATTCTCCTGGTCTTCTACTTTATATTGAAATCTTCTCTGTACATGTCACATTTCCTCCAATTGTTCCTAAATTCAGTTATTATTTGGGCATAAAAGAACAAAATAGGGTGCACTCTCCTTGTGCATTACCATAATAATAGGAGATGTATTATAAAATTACAAATGCATACTCACAAACCAAAAATGTCATAAAAACAGAGACAAGGAGTCAAAGATGTCAATTGCGGACAGCGGAGGTCCTCGGGTGAAAGGTCTAACGCATTTCGGGAGTTGACCTCCCTTCCTCAGCAATAGATAAAATACAATACATATTGATGGTTCTTATATATAAGACCAAGTGATAATGAGAACTTAACCACTCCCCCTCTGTGCAAAAGGAAGGGGTGGAGTCCTGCAAGTGACTCCCAAAAGGGAGATATCCTGATGTCACGGTCTGGGTCAGGTTCAGAGACCAGTTGCTACAGCAGTGTAAGGCTTACCTGAAACCAGAAGGATGGGTACACCAGCGGGTAACACTGGGAATGACGCAGGCTCACCTGAGGTGCTGGGTCTAAGTATTAACCGGTCTTCACCAGAGCTCATAATGGTGGAGATGGATTTGGCTGCGTGTGAATACCAGGTCGCAGATCTCAGGATCACCCCACCAGGGAATGAGTGAGCTGGGAACCAATAGCGGATCAAACAGTTTAGGGATCAGACAGAAGTGGAGTCAGTCACAAAGGTCGGTCACAAACGATATAGACGGCAGCAGTAAGGATAACCAGGATATTGGCTGGAAGGCACAATACTCTGGCAAGGAGGAAGTGCATGGACATGGCTTTTATCAGGAAGTTCATGGGAGGAGCAAGGAGTTCAAGGTTCAAGAGAAAACAAGGCACAAGGCAGGATTATCCAATAGATCAGGCAGAGTGTAGTCCAGCATCCCAGGTAGCTCACTGAGAAGAAACATTGCCACTCACTGCAGAAGGCCCAGGTTTGATCCCAGTCTCTGAGAGTACTCCCCTCCTCACAGGATGTCCCCTGGATGTCTTAGGACCAGGCTTGTGTGGAAACCTCTGGTGAAATTCTCTTGTTAATCTAGGAGCATGGAAATTTTCCTCAGGCTCCCAAGAAATTTCCTCTTGCCCATATCCTTCCCATTGGACAAGATATTGCAATTTTCCTCTAAACCTCTTAGAGTCAAGAATCTTCTCCACCACATATTCTTCTTCGCCCTGTACCTCAACAGGTGGAGGAGGTGGAAGAATTCGTCCAGAGAAAGGTGTTTCATGAAATGGTTTGAAAAGTGATACATGAAAAAACAGGGTGAATTTTCATACTGTCAGGAAGTTTTAAGGGAAAGGTGACTGGGTTGATCTGAGCAGAAATCTGGAAAGGTCCCACAAACTTTTGGCCCAACTTTGCAGATGGAACATGAACCTTTAGATTTTTGGTAGATAGCCAAACCTTGTCGCCTACATGAAATATAGGAAGTGATCTACGATGACTCTCGGCAGCCCTTTTATAAACTTTCCTGAGCCTCCCCCAAGGTCTCAATCAACTTCGCCTGAATCTCCTGCAATGTAGTTAATCTTTTGGCAACAGCAGGAATTTGAGTTGTGATAGGGAGATCAGGAATAAAAACTGGATGAAACCCCATATTGAGAAAAAAGGGGCTTTGGGAAGTGGAGCTATGTTTAGCATTGTTATAGGCAAACTGCCGTAGGTAGATAGGCCACCCAGTCATCCTGAAGATAACTGACAAAACACCGAAGGTACTGTTCCAAAGTTTGATTGGTCCTCTCAGTCTGACCACTAGACTGTGGATGAAAAGCAGAGGACAGGTTAACGGTTACCCCTAAAGCTGAACCCCTAACGGTTACCCCTAAAGCTGAACAAAAGCTTTTCCAAAATTTTGATGTAAACTGTACTCCTCTATCAGATACCACATCCTCAGGAATTCCATGTATTTTTTAAAAACATCTCGAACCATCAACTCCGCAGTTTGTTCAGCAGACGGTACCCCCTTAACAGGTATGAAATGAGCCATTTTAGTAAGGCGGTCGACGACTACCAAGATAGTAGTCATTTCTTTTGAGGGAGGTAATTTGACTATAAAGTCCATAGAAATTGACCCCCAAGGTCTTGATGGAACAGGAAGTGGTTGGTGCAACCCCAAAGGAGAAGCTCGGGGTGTCTTATGACGTGCACACGTCAGACAAGAGGCCACGTAGCGTTTGATATCCTTCTTATAACTAGGCCACCAGAAGGAACGTGACAGAAGGTCATCTGTTTTTGAAATCCCAAAGTGTCCCGCCAGTTTGGAGTCATTAACTAATTTGAGGACTTCCACCCGAGCCGACACAGGTACATAGAGACAATGTGCTAGAGTCCAAAACCGTTCTTGTACTCAAGGCTAATGTCCCTAGGAGGATCACTGAGAAGTGGGTCATTCTCATACCCCAATCTGAGAAGACTCAAGAATGTCTTTGCACTTGTGGCCCCTAGGAAGTTCTTTTGAGTTAGGATTGAACATTCGGAGTTACCCTTCTGGGGAGGCTCAGACAGCACCCTTGATAAGGCATCGGCCTTACCATTCCTCAATCCAGGTGGATATGATAAAATTGAATCTAGAAAAGAATAACGACCAACGTGCTTGTCTAGAAGACAATCTCTTGGCCGAGCGAACGAATTCCAGATTCTTATGGTCAGTGAGAACAGTTACAGGGTGATTAACCCCTTCTAGAAGATGCCTCCATACAGAAAAGGCTTCCTTAATTGCCAGTAGCTCTTTATTCCCAATGTCGTAATTCCTTTCGGCTGAGGACATCAAATGAGAAAAGTAGGCACAAGGATGAAGCTGCAATTTTTCATCACTTCGCTGAGACAGGATAGCTCCCACGGCAGAATTGGAAGCATCCACTTCCACTATAAAGGGTAGTTCAGGATCGGGATGTATCAAAATTGGTGCAGAAGTGAAAAGAGTTTTCAGCTTTTCAAATGCAGCCTGTGCCTCAGAGGTCCACACAAAGGATACCCCTTTCTTTGTCAGCTGTGTACTTGGAGCTATCACTCTAGAAAAGTTTCTTTATAAATTTTCAGTAGAAATTGGCAAACCCGAAAAAAACATTGAATTTCCTTAACATTTCCAGGTGCTGACCAATCTACCACTGCTTTGATCTTCTCGGGATCCATGCTCACTCCCTCTGGAGAAATGATATAGCCTAAGAACTGGTTCTGGGTTTGTTCAAACTCACATTTCTCCAATTTAATGTAAAGTCTATTTTTCCGTAATCTTTCAAAAACAGTGCAGACATGTTTGCGGTGCTCCTCCCAATTATCGGAAAAGATAAGGATGTCATCCAGATAGGCAATTACAAATTGGTCACAAAAAATATCGTTGATAAAATGCTGAAACATTGCAGGGGCGTTGCAAAGTCCAAATGGCATCACCAAGGATTCGAAATGCCCATACCTTGTTCTGAAGGTGGTTTTCCATTCGTCTCCTTGACAAATGCGGACAAGGTTATATGCCCCTCGTAAATCAAGTTTTGTAAAGATCTTAGCAGAACGAAGCCGTTCCAACATTTCAGAGATCAACGGTAATGGATAGCGGTTTTTAATAGTGATTTTATTCATGTCTCTGTAGTCAATGCATGGACGCAAGGTGGAGTCTTTATTTTCAACGATGAACAGGGCTGCTCCTGCAGGAGAAGTTGAGTGTCTAATAAAGCTCTTCTCCAAAATCTCATCGATCCACACCCTGAGTACTTTTTTCCAAAAATACTTTATTGCTTTAAGAGAAGACAAAAGCATTTAGAGCATGTACTGCCATAGATCACAGTCAAAACATAGACATGACATGTTGCTTTCCATTTCGCAGACGGGACAAATTGTAAACAGCTGTGCAAGACGAAATCATGTAGAACAGTACATCCATCATACAAAGTAAAATGGTGGATAGGAAGAGGAAAATGGATAAAGTGATGTTAGTGAATGTTATCTCGTCTTGACTCTCATCAACTTTTTAATGGTGAAGTAGTGTGATGATAGGGGTAAGGGTAGGGAAAGCGTTGGGTACTGTGACGGTCATTGTTTACATATTTATAGCTAGCGTATGTGCTATGGTTGAAGTTAGTCATATCTGTGTGCAGGTAAATGCTCTATTTGGTTGGTAGAGAAGAAATGATACAGGGAAATATCAGGTGTGAAGACAAGAGGTTAGAAAGAAAGACAGTAATAGAATTGTAGGGTGAGATATTGGGGAAGAGAAAAAAAAGGGGGGGGGGGAGAAGGCATTACATCCTCATGTATTGGCCCAGCCAGACAGGTATTACTAGAGCTCAAAATATGATGTGTGAAGGATCGGTCAGTGGGGTAACGCAGGTATACACCCTGAGTACTTTTAATTCAGGTTCCGACAGATTGAAAAGGTGGCCAAAAGGTATTTCTGCCCCTGGGAGCAGCTCAATGGGGCAATCATATGGGCGATGAGGGGGTAATTGATCTGCATTTTTCTTGTCACAGACATCCTGGAACTCATGGTAATGTGGGGGCAAATTGTCATATGACTGGATAGCCACTATATCACTTTGCGCTTCCTTGGTCGGTGACGAACTTGGTCGGCAAGGTTTTTTGCAATATTTTTCACAGTGGGGGGACGTAAAATCTATAGTCCGTGCTCCCCAGTTGATGGAAGGATTGTGAGTGGAGAACCAAGGAATGTCCAGGATGATGGGAAACTTGGGTGATGTAATCAGCTGAAAGCTGATGGTCTCACAATGGTCAGCCTCAAACAACAGTACCAGGGGAACCGTTTTATGGGTAACAGGTCCTGAAGATAAGGATGACCCATCAACTGTCTCCATATCAATAGGGGTAAATGTATTTCTTGCTAGAATATTATTGTTGTTGGCAAACTCTATATCCATAAAGTCCCCCCCAGCCCCGGAGTCCAGCATAGCTGAGCAGCAGATTTCACAGCCCTCAGATACAAGTTTAATGGGGATAACAAAATGAGAGAGTAGTAAGTTCACTTTATTCTCTTCAGGAATCCGTGGGGAGACAGACTGGCTTATAGAGTTTATTTGTTCCGGCACAATCACATCAGTCACAGCAATTGTTCCTCTAACTTTGTTAGGACAATTAATTGCGTAATGACCAGAATCCCCAATATATAGACATAAATTCTCTGAACGTCTTCTCTCTTTCTCCTGAATAGAAATGGATCTCTTGATAGCATCAACCTGCATAGGCTTAGGAGTGTTAGAACCCAGAGAGACTCTTGAATCCTGCTGAACAAATGGACTAGCAGAGCAATGCATGCCCCTATTACCTCCAAACATTCCCAGCCTCTCCTTCCTCCTTTCTGTAAGTCTTTGATCGATTCGGATACACAATTGGATGAATTCCTCAAGATCATTAGGAATATCTACTCTGGCAAGCTTATCCTTTACCTGTTCAGAAAGCGGAACTGGCTTTTTTGTGCTGCAGGGTTCCAAGTGGTATCTGCGATCCAACTTCTGAATTCGGCTGTGTATTCAGCGACCGAGCGTCTACCCTGCCGCAGACTATGCAATTTTGCTTCGGCAGTAGCACAATGGTTGGGATCATCAAAAACCTGATTCATCGTGGTCAAAAAGGTATCAAAATAATTCAACATCTCTATATAAGGGGAGGCCCAAGCTAGAGCTTCCCCAATCAGAAGCTCAATAATAAACATTACCTTCTTTTTCTCTGAAGGAAACAAAGCAGGGTACATTTGGAAATATATGCGACATTGATTAAGGAAACCCCTGTAGTGGCAGCGGTCTCCATTAAACTTAGATGGTTGGGGCTGAGGCATAAGTGAGCTAGAATCATCTCAGTTCAGCAGTTGTCTGTGCAGAGCCTGAATCTCGTCCTGTTGCCTATCCACAATGCTTTCTAGTTTGGCACCTTTTTCTTGATAGGTAACCCCGAATTCCTGCAGCTCAGCAATTTGCTGTCTAACGTTTGCCATAGCGGTCTCCATGTTTAGGCCAGATTATTCTGTCACAGTCTGGGTCAGGTTCAGAGACCAGTTGCTACAGCAGTGTAAGGCTTACCTGAAACCAGCAGGATGGGTACACCAGCGGGTAACCCTGGGAATGACGCAGGCTCACCTGAGGTGCGGGGTCTAAGTATTAACCGGTCTTCACGAGAGCTCCTAATGGTGGAGATGGATTTGGTTGCGTGTGAATACCAGGTCCCAGATCTCAGGATCACCCCACCAGGGAATGAGTGAGCTGGGAACCAGTAGCGGATCAAACAGTTTAGGGATCAGACAGAAGCGGAGTAAGTCACAAGCCAAAGGTCGGTCACAAACTATATAGACGGCAGCAGTAAGGATAAGCGGGATATTAGCTGGAAGGCACAATAATCTGGCAAGGAGGAAGTGCATGGACATGGCTTTTATCAGGAAGTTCATGGGAGGAGCAAGGAGTTCAAGGTTCAAGAGAAAACAAGGCACAAGGCAGGATTATCCAATAGATCAGGCAGAGTGTAATCCAGCATCCCAGGTAGCTCAGTGAGAAGAAACATTGCCTCTCACTGCAGAAGGCGCAGGCTCTGACACCTGAACTCATAAAAGTCATAAAAACAGAGATAAGGAGTCAAAGCTGTCAATTACAGACAGCGGAGGTCCTCGGACTGAACTCAGGCATATAATAAATCATATTAGTGGCTGTTATACGGCAATCAAAAATGCTTACCAGATGGACTAATCAAATCACCATGGATGTAGTGCATTATAGTTTAAATATCACTACACTCTGTGCATCTATAATGCACAAGGATAGGATCAATGTAATCCATGAACTTGCATAGTCACCAGGCTTTAATGAGGGATGATGGAAAGGCTGAAAGTCATGGCGTCCTCAGTGTGTGTGTGAGTAAGGATGCCAATGTTATAATGTGTCACTGAGCTCCAGAAGGATGTGTGCCGATCCTGGGACACTGCACGTGCACGCAAGTGTGTCAATAGCCCATGCGCCAAAGCCCTCGCCACTCACCAGAAGTGTATCACACTAAGGGCAAGTTGTTAATTTCAGTCTGCTAATATGTTCCTTCCCCCTCTCCTTTTTTTGTCCTCCTTTTATGCTTTTATTTTTTAAAATGTTCATGCTTTTACATATGATATAACACAATCCCATATTTGACACAATTTCACATAATTGTGAAATTATGTTTTTCTCTCTGTGTTCCATTATCAAAACACTGACTATGTGTGGCTCTAAACGGACAGCTAAACCCTTGTCAGAATCTCCAGCAAACAGAAGCCCACTGCTTGTGTTGTCTACCAAAGAATCCAACTTTATTTTATAGGTGAAACTGAAACACAATACAATGACAGCATATCAGTATACATAGAATAACTAGTGTAGCATAAATGACAGATGACACAGAAGAAAGGCACTTACAGGTGATGATGTCTCAAGCCCCTTGGGAGAGAATCAGGCACATGCATCCACAGTGAATGGCAATCTAAAAATGGCTGAAGAACTTCCTAAACCAAAAGTCATTTCCTGTCTGAGAATTTACATACCCAGAGGAGAACTGCCATTCATGTTTGCCACTAGATGGCAGTGGTACACTACATATCCCATATAAGTAACTATAATTCAATTAGCCTGTGAAGGTAACACACCCCTTCCTGCCCAGGCCAATTTCCAGCTTTCAGCGCTGTTGCAGTTTGAATGACAATTGCGCGGTCATGCAACACTGTACCCATATGAAATTTTTATACTTTTTTTGTGACAGATAGAGCTTTATTTTGGTGGTATTTAATCACCTCTGGGTTTTTTATTTTTTCTTAAACAAACCAAAAACCACTGAAAAATGTGAAAAAAAAAATTTTTTTCTTAGTTTTTGTTATAACATTTTGTAAATAAGTGATTTTTCCCCTTCACTGATGTGCTCTAATGAGGCTGCAGTGATGGGCACTGATAGGCTGCAGTGATGGACACTGATAGGTGGCACTTATGGGCACTGATGAGGAGGCACTGGTAGGTGCCACTGATGGGCATTGACAGGCATCACTGATGGGCACTGAAAGGCAGCACTCATATATGGCACTGATAGGCAGCACTGATAGGTGGCACTGAAAGGCAGCTCAGATAGGCACGGATATGTGGCACTGATGGGCACTGAAATGTGGCACTGATGGGCACTGGCAGGTGGCATGGATGAGCACTGAGAGCTGGCACTGATGGACACTGACAGGTGGCACTGCTGGGGCTACACAGATCATCAGGGCATACTGATCATCAGTGCTCTGATGATCTGTGTACATATCCCCTTCAAGGAATGCTGATTACCGGCTCTCCTCTCCTCACGAGCTGTAAGCGTGACAGCTCGTGGGAAGAGAAATGCAGATAACCGGCATTTCCCTGTTTACATGTGATCAGCTGTTCAGCTGATCAGTTGGACACAGCTGATCACATGACCGAGCTGACATCTTTCTTCTGCTCTTTCCGTGGATCGGTGATCCCCTGTGTCCGAGGGACACAGCGCAACGCCGATCGCCGTGCTGTGTGCTCCGGTAGCCACGCATGCGCGGTGAGAATGGGAGGCCGTCATATGACATCCTCCCAGAATGAGAGAACCACCTTGCGTCCGTCATATTACTATATGGTGGGCGGGAGGTGGTTAATAATTATTTAACTCTGGTGCTTGGTATTAAAAGAGACCCTCCCTCATCTCATTCTGTGTTCCCATGGGGTGGACCTTGAGTTTTTTGTGCTCTCTTTTGATCATTCTGGTTCTCTGCATATGGTTGGTCGGCTTCACTGCCACTTTTTCTGGCTGCCTGTCCGTGATAGTCTCGGTGGGGGGGTTTCCGGATGTGTCTGCCCACAGCTATGATCCACCTTTGCTCCCTCTCTCCTCCCACAATGCAGCTGTGCTTCCCAGGAAGCTGTGCGGTCTTCATCTCATGGCTTCCCCTATCACTCTCCAACAGTCCTCTTCTCTCTGCGAGTCGCTCACCCAGCGCAACTCCACGACCTCCACCAGGCCAACAGAGCCACTGGAGCTGCCCGAACTACCACGCTGCGCCAAGGACCAGACTTCCGCTAGGCACCAGGTAATTCCACTACCACTCTGCCTCTTTCATTCAGGCAGGCACATGGAGCTTCCTCTACCTGCTCCTACTCAGCGCCATGGACAGGCCCCTCCCCCCAATGGCAGTATATATACTGGTTTATTTCTTATACTAGTAATGGCAGCAATCAGCGATTTATAGCAGAACTGCAGGACTGCATCGGGCATTCTGACACTGCGGGGGAACTGACTGTCACTGACATCCCCAATGACACCAATACAGTGATCAGTGCTAATAAAAAGCACTGACACTGTACTAATGACAATGGACAAGAAGGGGTTAACATCTGGGGCAATCAAAGGGTTAACTGTGTGCTGTTTTACTGTGTGCTGTGTGTGCTTTACACTGTAAGCACACTGTTTTGTATGGTCCTGCTATGCAGACCCCATCCGTGACACGCGGTGATCACCGGCTGCCAGCGGGGAATCACCGGTCGGGACCCGGTGATCGACAGGTGACGCCAATGGCAACGCAGGTAGGGCACGTGCCCCTTGCCCTGCAATGCAAAATCACACACACATATATATATATATATGTGTGTGTGTGTGTGTGTGTGATTTTACGCACCCCTGCCACCCTGTAGCAGTATTTCTGCTATAGGGCAGTGGGAAAGCAGTTAGGGACTGGTAAACTACATGTAGTGCCACCCTCAAATGATCCGCTGATGATTTTGGGCTCTCTGTTCTGTGCCTCAACTCCAAGAACAATCTCAGACCTCCACGACACACCTGGTTGAATAAGAATACTGCAAACACAAGTGCAGGAGACTCTCAAAGGAACAGTTTTACAACATAATACATTACTAGAGACTATTGAGTCAGCAAGAGAAAAAAAAGTTAGCTGTGGGTATCCTCCAACTTACAGAGTATAGCATCAAACAGAGTCACAAAGATATTCAGTAAAGTGACTGACAATGGACCAATAGATCCTAGATAAACCTATGATTTCAGAATCAAGAGGGGGAAGAGGAGACTTTTAGTCAGTCCGCTCCCTCTAAGTCAGGGGTAGGCAACCTGTGGCTCTCTAGCTGTTGTGGAACTACATTTCCCATGAGGCATTGCAACATTACAAAACTGACAGTTACAGCTATGACTTGCAGAGGCATGATGAAACTTGTAGTCCTGCAACAGCTGGAGAGCCGCAGGTTGCCTACCCCTGCTCTAAGTCCTGCAGCCACAAGCCAAGAAAACAGTAGAGTACAATTTGTGAAACCTGGGTGTTAAGATAAACAACACATCAACTAAAAAAAAGACAGCCAGTGACAGATTTTGTAGACTGAATCCTTTGAGTGGAACATACCTTAAGGTGTGTCCTAGGTCTTCTGCTAGCTATGATGTGCCCAAAGGTATCCCTGTGCAATGGCAACTAGCAGAGTGAATAGAATATCAAAGGGTATTTCCCAACAGAAAGCCTTTAAGTGAATAGAGAGGGGTAACAGTGTCTGCATGCACTGCCTATACTGTGTTCGGGAGGATATTGGGCTTGCAGCCGTTTACCAGTCCTCTGGGAGGTGACACAACCAATATCTGCTGTGGAGGGTCAGGCCCCTGGCAGAGTAGAATGGAGCTGGATTCCCTCCTAGCAACCAATCAAGACAGTGGGTAAGAATGCCTGTAAAGTACCTAAAAACAGCAGACCAGATTTCCAGATGATACTGTGGTCCCTGGAATACCCTGGTGCTGGGTGATGCTGGACTGCTGAGCAGGTTTCCTGCACTGAATGGTGGAGCCTTGGTCTGGTTCTGGAGGGAAAGAGACAAGCTCCTCTCTGACAGCATCCAAGTCCCTGCACCAAGAACTCCAGTGCAGCAGCTGCAGGAGAATATCCCCCCCCCCCCCCCCCAGAATGCCATTCAGTTGTTCTTTTTATCTGGTAAGTGTAGTCCAGACAGTGCTGAAGATTACAGTGTCCCTAGCCAATGGGACTACAGGTCCCAAGATCCTCTGCTTCTCAAAACACATTTCCCACTCTGCTAACAGGAAATGATGTGATTACTCTGTGCTGAAACACTAGAGGGGGAGAAAGAGGATCTCATTCTATGAAGTAGATGTCCCTGAATTTCAGGCTGACCCCATGATCCTGTCTGGACTTGACTACACCCCCCCCCCCCCACTTGAAACCTTTT